GCTAAGATTACCATAATCAATGGCAGAGTGCACACTTGGCATGCAAAAGGTCAGAGGTTCAGATCTGGCATCTTAAGGTCAGATAAGAAAAACTCCTACCTGAAATACTGGAGAAACATTGCTGGCCAGGGTCAAAGATAGTGGGCTAGATGCCCTGAGTCAATATTAGGTAAGTTCTACATTTATTTTACTTTTTTAGAGACATATGCCTTGAGCTCTCATTTACATTTATCTGGAAATGACAGAAGGGAAAGAATGACTGATCTACTCTTCCTCTATAGAATTTCTCTAAGTCATCTGAAGCAGTCCTTTTCATAATGGGAAGTTTTTGACATGGCAGAATTCTACATTAAACAAGTCACAGTGAATTGATTTTAAATGTTGACTAGAATACAAACTTCTTTTCAAAAATGACTATAAAACTCATCTGACTCAAAGAAAAAGGTGGATTAACATTTTACACATGGCAAAATCCAACATGAGTTACCACAGGATTATCTGATTTCTAATGTAGGTTTGCTGAAGTCATCAAGAAGATTCACAGGATATGCTGCCTTGCACATCCTTATACACCACTGAGAAGTCCCAGATAAATAAAACATCTAAAGTAGTTATTGACTTTCAAAAATTGCTGTCTCTGTAGAACTCTGTTGCCAAAACTGATAGGAAAAAAAAGCTCTGAGTATGCATATCAGTTTCCACTTTAGATCTTGCCTTTAAAGCAACAGTCTTTAAAGCAGTAGTAGTATTCATAGTAAAATAGTAAAAGTAACCGCAATAATAGTAACACAACTGGGCATTTCTATCCTATTGGTAATAAATCAAATATTAATTTGGTTGGTACAATTATTACATTTTTTCAGCTCCTTGTTTTCACAATATGGGAAACTAAACAGCTTAAATCTCACTAGTATGTACAATTTTGGGGGTGGGGAATTGCACACATATATTTGTGTGCATACCTGTATTAAAGGAAGAAGGGGGCAGGCAGGAAGGCAGGCTATCTACATTGAGAATGTTTGGGTGGCATGCATTATTTAGTTATTTATTTATAGCATCCATTTCTGATACTCAAGGTGGTATTTCATTAATATCAGCTAATTATAGCCCGTTTTCTAAAAGAAAGAAATGAAAATAATTTATTCTATTTGAATGAGGTTATTTTTCTCACTTATTATTATGGCTAAAGTTACTGTATTCATATGTTGATGACTTTTTATATTAAATTCAATTTGATTTTGAATAAAAGTCTGATTGTACAAAGAGATTTCTAGCTTTTTCTTAATTAAGAATGGATTTTTCAGCGTTATCACAAATAGTAATTAGTCCATGATCAAAATACTTACTGATAAGAAAAATAGTACAAATCAGGTTAAGACGATAAATGTTGTATTGAGTAAAATAAGGTATAAATAGTGGAAAATAAAATAATTAGTTTTGTGATTGTTATTTTTTAATTTCACTGCCAGTTGACCTCACTGCTGCATTAACCACGATACAACACAAAGGAATTTTCTGGGGGGAAAAAATAGAGCTCTTTATGCAAGCTAACTAATGATGTTATTCACTACTCGTTCACAAAGTTCTTTAAGCTTTGCTTTGCCAGAGGTTATGTTATAGTCATTTGAATTTATGCTAAAGTACAAACTAAACCACACTGAAAATTAATGGGTAATCACTTGCCCCTTTAACATTAATTAAAACATATCTCTATTTAGTAGGCCTTGAAACAAGTTGTTCACCTGGATGACATTATTTGTGCTATGGAGGTGGTGTGATTTGCTCTGCCAAGGTGAAGAGATGACACACTTCACTTAACAAAGAAATGCAAGTGGCCTTAAACAACTTCAAGACAGAAGAAAGATCTTCCCAATTTCCTCCACAACTGCTGGTCCAAATGATTTCTCTCTTAAAGATGACATACAATATATAGATTCAGAAGGCTTCTGAACTGGTTTATTAAATACATGCAGTCCTATGCTCCTTGGAAGGAGAAACTCCAACTTCAGATGAGGGGATCCCATTTCATTTCATTTCATTTCATTTCATTTCATTTCATTTCATTTCATTTCATTTCATTTTTTTATTTATTTTATTTTATTTTTTAATTTAATTTTATTTTATTTTTCAATCAGCTGTGACAAAAACAATTGGAGGTAGAGTGAAAAAAATGCAGTTTGTATTGCTTGATTTTCTTGCAACATATAGTTATGCCATCCACGTTTTTTTCCAATGCCCATTAATTTCAGTGGACTTACTTATAAGTAATATGCACCAATATAGTGAATATAATGGAGATCATTTC